GTGTGTGTGTGTGTGTGTGTGTGGCCAGCTCAGCCCACCAGGGGGCGCGGCTGGCTGGCATGTGGTGCTGGGGGACTGAACCGCAGTCCCTGTGCTTTGCCAAGCTTTGAGCCATCTCTCCAGCCCCTCATGTGCAATCTTAATTCCCTGTGACCTCTCCTACACAGTTTTCCCTCCAGCATACCTGTTCAGAGTTTGGGCATGTGCTATAAAAAGTGATTTTAAGGCAGGATTACAGATACGGGATTCTACCCAAGATCAGGAGTAGCATTGGGACAGCTGTACTGGGAGCTGCTTCATGAGATTTCCTTTCACCCTAATCAGGCTGCAATAATTAATCTTTTGGATCTCAAACTGTGAGTAAACTGTCTATAACAAAACAACCTCATAGTTAATGTGACACAGCACTCTGAAGTACAGTATTTCTAGAGGATGCTTTTTCTCCGGCTCTTGACGGGCACAGCAATTTACACAGGGTAGCAGCCCTGGAGGGCAGGGCTGTGGGGACCCCACTTCTGGCAGGAGGTACTAGAGGAGGACAGGTGGGCCAGCAAGGCCTCTGAACAATTGGCGATGCTGTGGCGCCACAGGCCACCACCACACCGCAGCCACCACCACACCGCAGCCACCAAGTGCAGCATTGCTTGCTGCTTGGGATCCTTGCCTTAACACATCGTTACTTAATTCTCTTCTAGGGCCAGCAAGATAGCTCAGCGGTCTAAAGCGCCTGCTTAGGCAAGCTTAGGCAGGTGCAGGAGCCCGCAGTTTGGTCCCCAGCACCACACACTGCACCAGCCCAGGGCTAGGCCAGCCAAAAAAAAAAATTCTCTTCTGGAAGGTGTAAAGGATCTTTGTAATACATGGGAAGATGTTAAACACCATTAGTTGTTAGGAAAATACAATCAAAACCACAGGAGGACACCACTCATGCACCAAGATGTGTAAAATACAGACAGGTGTTGTTAAGGATGGGGAGAATTGCAGGACTGTCAGGACTGTAAAGTGACGTGCGTGCTTTGGAAAACAGGCCGTACCGGCAGGTCATTGTACATCCACTGGATAGGATGGCCCGGTATTCTCACTTCCTAGATACACGCTGACACAAAACTCTACCAGATGCTCATGCCAACATTATTTGTAACTACCAAAATGGGAAATGAGCCTTATGACTCAGTTGATGAACAAACTCATGTTCATGTAGTAAAATAATATGTGGCAATAAAATGTAGGGAAACCTTGAAAACCTGCTAGGTGAGAGAAGTGTGCAGAATGGGCAACTGCACGGAAGCAGAAGACGACCGCATGCGAGGAGCAGGAGGGAGGGGAGAGCAGGGAGGGCTGCGGCCGGCGGCGGGGCGGGCTTCCTGCGGGAGGAGAGCGCTCTGTCAGTAGTGGCGCAGTTCTGAATACACGAGAACCTACTGAAGCGTCCGGGCTGGGGCGTGCTGGGAGTGAACCCGGGGCAAATTAATCCGCACAGAGCTTTACCCTCAGCCTGTAGAGACAAGGCTTCACTGTGTCGCTGAGATGCTCAGGCCGGGCTCGAGCCTGTCGTCCTCCTGCCTCAGCCTTCTGAGTGCTGGGAGTCTGGGGGTCTGCCGCCATGTCCTGCCTGAAATGGGCCTTTTATAAGGGATCATTATATGGCATGTGCATATCTGAATAAAACTCATTTTCAAAAATCTTTTGTGAAATACAATCAGTATACAATTATATAGGGGTAGTTGAGCATGTATGTTCATTTTTGTGATTATTTAACTGACAGATATTTAAGAAACTGTTTGAAGAAGGTTTACAAATTCAGAAGCAGAGATTACGGGATCTAAGGAACTATGCCAGAGAAAAGCGAGATGAAGAAAAAAGGCAGCACCAGAATGAACTGGACTCGATGGAGAACTACTACAAGGACCAGGTGGGCCATCGCTGTCCCTGCAGTGTGCTCGGTCGTGACTGCACGTGTCCTGCGCTGCTCGGTCCACTGGTGCTAAGCCTGCAGCCCACGCAGGCCAGCTCTCAGCCACAGAATGCGATCTGTATTGCTCTGCTTGCGTTAAGATAAAGATTTTAAGCCAAAGAGCAGTAAATCACCTTTTGACCTTTGGACCACAATAAATCTCAGATGTGTGTTTCTCTTCCCTCTGAACAGTTTTCATTGCTGGCAGAAGCCATATCACAGGAACGCGAGGAGCTCAAAGCCAGAGAGAAAGCCCAGGCACAGGTAATAATGGGAAAGAAAGAACTTATTTGCATTTTTAGGAATTAGAAAACAATTGTATTATAAGGAGATGGAGAGAAAACCAGTAAGAAAATCCATCTGCAATCTAAGACATTTACCCAAGGTTTGTCTTTTTTGGTCTTTGTAAGAACGACTTCCAAATTATAGGAACGATTGTAAGGAGCTTGATAGGTGGAAGGGTGGAGGGCGACTACCAACAGCCAAGGGCCTAGACGGGCGCTGTGCACAGCAGGGTGACACGCCTCTCTTGCAGACATTGCATAAGGCGAAGAGAGAACTGAGATCGAAGATGGAGAAGGAAATCCAGGAGCTGCAGGACATGATAACGCAGAATGACGACGCTGCTTTCTTCCGGGAGCTGGAGGTTGAGCGCTTCAGGGCTCGGCTGCAGCTGGCTTCCTTTCAGTACAGTAACAGTCCCTTCCCGTGAGGCCCCGCTTGACAGGTGACATCTCTGACAGCTTGGGCCGAGTCAGGAAACAGTAAACCAGGAAAAGAATTTTTAATGCCTTATCTGTGTATTCATTCCAATACTTGTCAATTTTAAAATAAAAACATAAAGCTTACTGTATTGAATTTATAACTTAAAAACTGGAAAAAGGGGAAATAAAAGCACACGCTTAGTCATCCTTGCAAAGCAGTGAGCAGGTCTTGCTTGGGCAGCCAGCCCACGCGCCTCCCCGGAAGCCTCACTTAGCAGAGAAAAGCTAGCGTGGGTTAGTGATGAGGGGACCCTTACGGTGTCACGCAGGTTCCTCAGGACTGGAAGCTGGGAGACGGTGACGCGTCGCGCTTCTGCGGTGTAGCGGCGCTGAGGAGAGGCTGGAGGTCCGCCGCACGGCAGGCGCGCCGTGGTGCGTGGCGCCGTGGTGCGTGGCGGGCGGGTGTGAGGAGGAGGCAGGAACCCGCCCGGAGGTGAAGGCCAGGAGCCGCCGAGGGCCCTGCCTGTCGCAGTGTCCTGGAGCGGGTGAGCCGGTCGGGGCTCAGGAGCACGTGCAGAGGGGCGACCTCGAGAAGGGCAGGCAGCTCTGGATCGACAGGGTCCCAAGTGCTCCTGTCTTAGATTGGCAGCTGACGGCAGACTGGGCCACCTGGCCAAAGTGTGTGTGACGGAGAGATGGGACTGAAGCCGCGACACTGCACACGCTAGGCAACTGCCCAGCTCCCTTCTGAGATGGGCTCCCCGAGCTGCCTCAAATGCGAGAGCTTTTTTTTTTTTGCTTTTTTTGGTGGAACCGGGGATTGAACTCAGGCCCTTAGGCTTGCCAGGGACGCGCTTATTCTCCTGAGCCATCTCCCTGACCCCTAATTTGTGAGCTTTCTGCTTGAGCTTCCCAGGTAGAAACTGTCAGGTCTTGCCGAGCTGGGGTGACTCCATCATGACTGGCTGCGTACGCAACCGTAAGTTCTGAATACTTGAGTTTGGATTTTGCATTTGCCAAGATGGAGGCCAGAAGCATTAGTTTGGTAGTTCAGTGTTCTAACAGTCATCCACATTCAAGCTCTAGCTTTGGAAAGACCTATTTGTTGGTCCTAGTCAGGGCAAAACCCATTTTATTTACTTATTTTTAGGTATCTGGAAATCAAACTCAGGACCTCATGCTTGCTAGGCAGGTGCTGCGCTGCTGAGCTACATCCTGGCCCAGAAAGGCCTTTTGAATAAAGCAAACTGAATTTTAAAATCTGGTCCATCCAGTTCCCTGAGAGTGCTACTCCCTGCAACTGCCGCCTCTATCCAGTTTGCTAGACGCAGAACTGTGAATCAATCACAAACCTTCAAGTCTACAGCTTCTAGGGAAAATACAACTGACTGCTCCTCCTCCCCGGGGATTCGCGCGGCGCGCCGCGTGACGCCCCTCCTCGACGCCCACCCTTGCCCACCCTTCGGCTGCTCACGGCCGCGTTCCTGCTCAGTCCAGCCCTGCCCCGGAAGCCCGTCCTGTCCACAGCTCCCCACAGCTCGGCAGCGCAGCCAGTGGCCGCGGCAGGAGGAGCGGGCGCTCCGGCTCGGGAAGGTCCTAAGCGCGCTCAAGTCCAAGCGGGACCGAGTAGTCAGCTGAAGAGGGGCTGTACTCTTGAAATCCCACTACGGGACCAACCATAATGATTTTTTTTTCAAAATAATTCATTACAAACCATATTTTTCAAAAATTTTGATGCTGTGACAGTGCAAACAGCATTCATTTTATTGCTCAACTTCGGCATGGGCACATACATAGTTAATTCTTAAAAACCATTTATACAGATGTTATTGATAAAGCTCATGTAACAACTTAGTGAAAAATACAAAGAACATCAAAGCTAAAACACTCTGTAATAAATACCATGAAATGATAAAACTTTGTTTTTAAAGTCAGTTTGAGAGAAGGAAGAATATTACACAAAGTGAACTAATTACATCTAGAAATAAAACAACTCGGCCTTTGGTGCAGTCACCACCCTAACGTAAGAATGTTAAATACCACAAACGGCACCCGTTGACTGTCAGCTGCAGCCTGCAGACAGAAGCGAGCAAAGGGCTGCTCCACCCCGCCGGACGCCGCCAGAGCCTCCCACGTCACCAGTGCAGCCAGTCCAGCGCAGCAGAAGCTGGAAGCGGGGTTAGTGGAGACAAAGCAAAGTACAATGCATTGAAAAGAAAAGAAACTTGTGCTCTGGACTGTGAATACAAGAAAGACTTTAAAAAATAAACCCATTCAGGGCAACAAACTATGTGCAAAACGAAATATACACTATACACAGTACTATTTAAAAACTCTTTACACCAAAAAATAAGGCCCTCGGAATCAAAACTTATGTCTCTGCTGCGTGTGAGTTCTACAAAGTAATCATGCTCATAATAAGCATTCGCGATGGAAAGGCAACAACATGGGAAGCTGGCTCACACACCTGAAATCGCACACCTAGAGGAAGGATACAAACCCAGTTGAGAGGGACATTTGGAAATAAATATTCACATTAAACCCGAGGTGCAAATCCATGGTTCAATGACATCGGGGCATTTGTGTCTTAGCACCTATTTTGAAGTAATCAGATAATGTAATTTTGACGTTGAAATCAATCGTGTTCCGATGTGCTGTGTTGGTAACACCACACAGTTATGCAGGGCGACTGCTTGCTTTTAAAGCTCCATGAAGTCATTACTATAAAGGTAAAGGCACTCAAAAAGCGATGGTACTTGCCTGCTTTGTACTGTACATAAAAACAACTAAGTAGCATTTCACTATTACTGCATCCCTGTCAGTTATGATTTCTTTAAAGTGTTCTTGTACTTACTATTTATTGAAATATTTTAAGAGTAGGCACAATTGCAAATTGCACTAAAACTTTAAAAAGAGATGGATCTGTGACCAATAAGGTACTATCAAAAAGCTAAAAATTACTGATCATTAAATAGCACAGAAACCATTTCCGTATACTTCAAGATGTTCTTCAGTATTACTAAGAATGCAGTAAGAAAAGCCAAGTGGAAAGAAAAGGTCGGCATAAGGACATTACCACTGCAGTTACAACTCTGACTGGCTTACTTATAAGCAGTCAAATTTGGCCATTTAAATACTTGCCAACTATATGCTGTTCTTAATATTTTTTTTAAGCAATAAAGTCTCCATTTGTTCTAGCTGTGCCCCTGCTCCCCTCACCCCCAGCCCACAAAAGGTTACTCAGAACTCCAATAAAGAGAAAGCCCAGAGCTGCTCAGGCGCCGCCCAGGAGCGCTCGCTCCGGCTACGAGGACACAGCCTGAAGCCCGCTCCATCGTGGGAAGCAGAGCACAAAAGACTATTCACTTGATAATTAAGTTGCAAAATTTAAAGCTCTATCATCAAAACTTGCTATTCTTCTTTCACATGACTATTTTTAAAAAACAGTGCATTCTTTTCCAATAGCTGAACTTTAAAATCCGCAGCGATCTCTTCTAACCTCTGGCCATCTGCAGCGCGCGACCGGTCACTCTGCTTGGGGCAGCCAGATGGGGCTCGGGCCGGCTGGGCCCCTCTGGGCTCCCAAAGTCCACTTTCGGGCGGCGGTGGGCCCCGGAGCAGAATCACTCTCTGCGGTAATTACACTCCCTCCCCACCCAAGGGCTTGGTCCAGTTCAGCTTGTGAGAGAAAAGCAGGGTTTTCTAAGCTTGCTAAATAATCTTCAGAGTAAAACTTTCCTTTTTCACAATTTAGCTGATTAAAATTAAGAGCATCTAAACAAAGCTTTTGCATGGTTTACTTGATAGAAATGCAATGTAATTAAAATATAAATTAGGTGCACTTATTAGAGACTTTGGTTTACAGGAATAGTATATATAGTAAAGTCCAGCTGACCCAGCAACAGAATGAAAATCCCGCCCCACCACATGCTCTGAGAAGCTATAAAAATGCAGTATTTCCACTTAAGATAAAAAGTAAATCCAAAATACCTGATTGTATTGATTCAAGATAAAAACATTATGTTTAAAAAGTCATTTTAAAAACAGGGAACCCCTGAACACATGTTATGGCATCAAACTACTAAGTTTAGACTACATGGTGCATTAGGAAGTTAACCAAAATAATATAGCTGTATTTCCAGGAAAATTGTGCTTGAAAAAATATAAAAACAACCCACTTAGGTGAAGTCGAAACACATACTGCAAAATACAACGCTCTGCTATAGAAAAAACAAACAAGTAAATGGCTTAATCTTGTAAAGATAATGATTCTTTTAGCCAATTGTTTATAAAGTTAGACTAATTCAAAATAACTTTATTCTCTTTTACAAAGAGCAAGTACAGGAGCTGTTCAAAATCATGTGTTCTACCCAAACGGACTGCGACTTGTACCGACTGCTGCAGCTGGCTTGACGTGTGAAAGGCTTGAGCTCTGGGAGCGATCTGAGCAGATCACCTTTTATAAAAATAGCAGTAGTCTTTAAGTGTAGAACGCGGCCTCTTCTGGAGACCCAGGAAAGGCAGCGTTCCTTAGGTTCAAGATACTCATTTCAAATAGCAGCTGAGTGTGTCCTCATGGCAAAGCACAAAGACCTTTTTTCCTTGAAAAGGAATTTCAACATTGTCCTTTCCCCTCACAGTGTCCTAAAACTTCAAAGAAGGAGGGAGATGGGTTTTCCTGTACTTCAGCATTCTTTGAAACTGCTGAAGGCAGGCTGGCGGTCAGGGGCATAAATAGTCCCGGGAAAGGCCTTGAGACTCGTCACTCCACAGCAAATCCACATGTCTCTTCAATGGCTGTTAGCAGCTTTTCATAGAGCTTTTCATAGCTTTCGTAGGGCGGAATGTCTATTCGATTGAAGCTGTGAATAAACAAACCAGACTTCACACAGTTCATTCAGAGAAGCAAGGCCTACCGACACGCATGGACACAGGCCACAGTTCTTTGGGCCACAAAAGCTAAAGGGCTGCGCTGCTCTCGGTCCACTGCCACCCTGCTGTTTTTCTACTAATATATAGGTAGTTTTATATCACTTTTTTGAGTTGCTTATTTCTCCCACAGGTCCTCCTACTAGTGGGGAAATAAACGAGAAGTCAAATCCACCCGGAACAACCCCTGATGGACAGTGGGAACAGCCACAGAACCACTCACCACGTGTGCGCTTTGGGCAGGTTGTTAGTGCAGGCGTCGATCTGGTGGATGGTGAAGAGCCGGGGGCCCGCGGCACCTGCACGGAGGGAAACGCGGGTCAGACCGCGCAAGGCACGGCCCCACCGGGCACCAGAGCAGGGGGGCGCGCAGCGCAGCGCAGCGGAGGAGGGAAACGCTGCACATGCGCACGCGCTTTCCTCAGGGTAGCAGGAAAAGAATCCAGGTTTGATTTTATTTTATTTTTTATTTTTTGGCGGAACCGGGGATTGAATTTAGGCCCTTGAGCTTGCCAGGGAAGCACTTACTCCACTGAAGAATCCAGGTTTTAAAAGCTGGAATTGACCTTGGCCAAGGCTGGCTGCCTTCACAGGCTAGCATTGCAGTTTAAGAAAAAGTTCAGGATTGAGGTCCTTTTGCTAACTTCTGTTTTATAGAAGATCAGTATCCCAAAAAGAATAAGAAAAAAAAAATGGCCAAGATAAAACATAGTGTAGAGCGCACACTCAGAAGATGGCAGCCTAAGGCAAGCTTAGACATCATGACCGACCGGAGCCACGCGGGAACGGCAGCACTGGGGGCGCCAGTTTACAGACACCCCACACACGTGCACGGAGGGCAACGGAGCGTCCGGACCCCCAGGAGGGCGGGAGCCCGCAGCGGGCTTTGCCAGCACACTGCGAGCGGGCCTGGGCGGCGAGGAGGAGGAGGCCGCCCCCGGGAGCACGCCGGTCCCCAGCCACAGCTCAGCCACAACTTAAGCGGCTTACTCCATGGAAAACAACTCTTTAACAACGGAACAGGGTTTTAAGTCAGTAGTCGGGTGCCAGGCAGTAATTGCGGGGCTCTGGCCAAACAGATGGCCTCCGCAAACCATGCTGCCCTTCTGGTGAGAGAAAGAGTGAGAAGCGCGGCGGCGACGGCCGGCCCTCGGGGCTCTGCCAGGCCGGGAAGGGAGCGCGGAGGCAGAGCGCTGCGGGGCCTGGACAGCAGGGGACAGCGCTGCGGCCAAGGCGGGGGCAGCGCAGGAGCACCCGCGCACCGCTGGGGGACGAGAGCGGGAGAGAGGGAGGGAAGGGAAGCAGGCGGCCCGCGAGGGCGGGAAGGGAGGCAGCTCGCGAACCCCGCCCCCCAGCCGCCCCGCCGCCTGTACCTTGCAGTGCCTTGAAGCCCTGCAGAGGCACTCTGGACGACCCCGTCACAAACTGTAGCAACCGTGCTCGCCGCTCTTCATCAAAGAACTCCACAGCTTTCCAAAACCACTTGACGACGTTGCTGTCTGGGGTGCAGTGTTTTAACCGCGTGTTCACTTTCCAGTCCCCGACGTCTATCTTTCCCAGTCCGCAGATAATGAGCTGGTAACACAGTGCACAAGCGATGAGCAGGGCCGGCGCTGCGCCACCAAGTCCTCCAGCTTTGCAGCGCTGGCCCTCGGTTTGTTTTTTTCTTTTTGGCGCTGGGAGTCGAGTTCACGCCCCTTGCCCTTGCCAGGCGGGTGGGGTGCCGCGCAGCCACACCCATTACTTGGTATGTTTAACCAAAGATGCACATGAGAATTGTCTGGAACGCTTTACAAATGCGCACACCCGGTCCTCGGCCCAGAGGTGATTCTGTGCATGTGGGTGACAGGACTAAAAGTTTCTAAAAATTTCCTAAGCACTTCCAGAGGTATCTGCTCACGGTGGATTCCCTTCCCAGTGTCTGAGGACCACCGCTGTGATGGACTCAACAAACATGATAAAGTCACTGGGAAAACTTCTAATTTTGAAAAAACTTATAAAATTTAAAAAAAGAAAAGAAATCAAGACCCAAAAGGTAAATACAATGGCTTTATGGCTGGACGGGTGCGTTGTTCTGGTCTCCACACTCTCAGCGCTGAGCGCTGGGCCCGCCGGGGCGGGCGGGCGGCTGCACTGCTCGCTTCCCGTCAGCGCCTCCGCATGCACGCACGCAAGCACGCACGCAAGCACGCACGCACGCGGTGACCCAAGAGCGCCGAGTGACGCACGCACGCACGCACGCTGGGCCCGCCGGGGCGGGCGGGCGGCTGCACTGCTCGCTTCCCGTCAGCGCCTCCGCATGCACGCACGCAAGCACGCACGCACGCGGTGACCCAAGGCGCCGAGCAGGCGCCTCCTGCCACGCCCGCCTGACGGCCTCACCGCGGCTCGCTAGGCGTGCGGCGTGCTGCTGTGGCACCGCGGGCCTGTGCATCTCTTGAGGGCCCGAGGCCAGCTCACATCGTCAATCTAACATGTTTTTATAGTCAGTTATATGTAGTATAAAACACAATGCAGGGGCTGGGGAGATAGCTCAGTGGAATAAGCGCTTCCCTGGCAAGCTCAAGGGACTGAGTGAGTTCAATCCCCGGTTCTGCCAAAAAAACCAAAAGAAAACAAAACAAAACAAAAAAACACAATGCAAGTAATATATACTACTTTCACAGAATTAATCTTGTTAATCTAGTAAAACATTAAGTGCCATACACTTTTCTATGAATTTTAATGATTAACAGTAAAAACTATCATAAATCCTATTCCTATTGGATGAAATCTTAAACAAAGCTACTATACATATAGACTTCTAACAGAATTTAAGTCACACTGAACTGGTAACAGGTTGGCCTAAAAGCATTTCAAATGCTTTCTTTTTCTTGTTGGCGGAACTGGGGATTGAACTCAGGCCCTTGTGCTTGCCAGGCAAGCGCTTATTCCACTGAGCCATCTCTCTGGCCCCGCAGATGCTTTCGAGACACAGAAGATTCCACCTTCCCTTCAGAGCGGTGGCAATGACAAGGCAAAGGCCTCACTCAACACGGAGGTCCTACCCTGGGCTTCACTGCCACTGATGCCTGCGGCCGCGCCCCTGGCCCACCTGCTGAGCGTCAGCGCAAGGAGGGACACTACCTAGTCAAACGGAGGGACACTACCTAGTCAAACCCATCTTTGTGTATTTATTTGCTACCATGTCTGTTAAGACATGTAGCTACAGGGCCAGGGAGATAGTTCAGAAGAATATGCCCTTGCCTGGCAAACGCAAGGGCCTGAGTTCAATCCCCCGTTCCATGAAGAGGAGAAAAAAAAAAAGTTACAAAAGACAATGAAATTAATACAATCAAGTTTTAAGTTCTCTGGCGTGTTCACAGAAACAGTGTTAGAAACTGTTGAATACACCTGTTAGTTTATGAATATTGACAAGGGGGGAGCTAAGGTTTTGTTCAGTTTACCTTAAGTGCTTTACTTATTCTATGATCTTGTCTGCCAGATGTTTTCTGCCAGAGTTTAGTGCAAACAAACCCAATCTGACCTAAGCCTTTATCAAATACATTTTAACAGGGTGGAGACTAATACACTTTTTGGTTAAATCAATTAATAATCACTAAATCAAGGAATAGGAAAAACATCCAAAGAATTCATATGTGAGACATGAAATCTGTTTAAATGAACACAATAAAGAACTACAAGAGTTTCCAAAATAAGGCCTGTGTGGTGGCACATGCCTGTAAACCCATTTCTTAGGAAGGTAAGATAGTCGGCTTGTGAGTCAAAGGCCAGCTTGGCCTACACAGCAAGTTACAAGGGCTGGCCAAATAGCTCAGCGGATTAAAGCACCACCAAGCAGGTGTAGGGGCCGGGGTTTGATCCCCAGGCCTGCCCTGCCACCCCTGCCCCGGGGGTGCAATTGTGACTGGGCGTGGTGGCCTGTAATCCCAACTTTATCAAATACATTTTAACAGGGTGGAGACTAATACACTTTTTGGTTAAATCAATTATTCTGAATCTGTTACCAACATTTCCCTTTTCAAACCTGCAGGGAGTGCTCTACGTTAATAACTCTTGGGAGGCTGTAAACAGGCAGATCACTACGAGTCTGATCTAGTAGTGAGACTCTGAACACCCTGTAGACCCTTCCCTACAACACAGAAAAATAAAAAATAAAAAATACACAAGTTACAGGTTGCTCTAGATTATATAGTGACATTCTGTCACACACACAAAAATTTAAAATTCACAATGTAAGAGAAATTGCTAACTCACAGAAATAAAACACAATGACATTCTAAACACTTTTCCTGTGAATAAGAATTCTCATGGAACTGCACTGTAAAATTCTGAAAACATTAGAAATACAACTTTCGTCTACGATTAAGCACAGCACTCCCTGAGCTTTCCTGTTGCTCGAGGTGATGTCATAGCACAAATGCACTGACCTCCAACTCCTTCTCGTCAAATGTCTTCAACAGATGCTGTGGAATTACTTCATTGAATCCTTTCTGCAGAGCCAGGAACTGAGCTTCAATGCCTCGCAAAAATCTCCAGTTCACATACAGTCTAAATATCGGACAGAATTTGCATATGATCATACAGATTCGGATCTGGTAATTAAAATTTCTTCTGCAGCAACACCACACTACACAAGCCCTAAGAATGTAACTTAAAACTATAAAACAAATTTTTTATTGAGAAATAAAAATGAATGAGACAGTCTCAAAGCTGAATAATAGGACAGTTTCGATAATCAACATGTAAAATAATTTAAAAAACTCTCAAACTAATGAGGATAAATAGATCTTCATCTGAGAGGAAGTTCCCAGACACAGAAAGCAGCACCTTTCCACCAATAAAGCACAATCATAAAACCACTTGTCAAATTCAAGAAACTCCTCAAGGAGTTGTGAGCTTAGATGGTTTTGAGGTCAAAATCAAAACACGGCCCACGCACGAGGCTCTGGGTTCAATCACAGCATCAAAAGAAAAACTGACAAAATTCTCCTTCTAAACTTAACAGCACAGATGCTAACAGCTAGAAGAGCCCAGTCAATCAAAAATGACCAATTTTCTGGCTTTTCTTGAAAGTATGGACTTGGGAGCATGGTGTAGTTACATCTGGGGGAAGAGGAGGCAGGGAACGCTCGGATCCAAAATGAGAAGAAAGGGGAAAAGCACTTTTTGAATAAGTACTTGAGATTCCTCCCTGGAGGCTGTAAACTCCGAAGATGTTGACTAACCGTAAGCACTCACTACCCTCCAGCTCCGCAGTGACGCAGCTCTGACTGGCGCTTACCATTCATGCACAAGCTGCTTTCGTTGACCCACCTTCCTGGAAACCTTCACCTCACACATCCAGAAATATTCTGAATCTGTTACCAACATTTCCCTTTTCAAACCTGCAGGGAGTGCTCTACGTTAATAAGAACATTCCTTAACTCTATCATTGGAGAACCTCAGTGCTGTCAGTTTTAAGAGACAACGAAACTGCTGTTGCCACGGCGCAGCTGGCCTCTCACACCCGCACGGGCCGCCGTTATTACTGTGTCTCACACCTGCACGGGCCGGAGAAGTTCAGGCAGTCACGAACTGGATCCTGCCGTGATGAGCTGCTGAGACCGGAGCTTCCCAGTCGCTTGTATTTTTAATTAGAAATGCAATATATCCTGCTGTGTGTATGAAGAAAAACCAAACCTTGCCTGTGCAGACAGAAGGCACCCTGCAAGGCTTTCTCCTTGAGCCATCAGCTCCATTTCCTTCTCCTAGGCCAGGGCTGGCAAGCCTCTGGGACACAGAGGACAGGGGCCGCCGAGCATGCGGGCCACGTCCCAGGCCAGCTGACCTTGGTGCTCAGCCCGCCCACCTTCCAAAGGATACGGAGTAACAAGCGTTGTCCCTACATACTCTCTCTAGGGCTTGCTTTTGGGATTTTACAGCTTATACAGGCTTTCTTTTACACATTCACATATTTCTACTGACTGCACATGTTAAATCTTATTACTGAAAGCATTTACTCTAAAAACCTTTTGGTAGTTCGCTTTTTTGGAGGTAACACTTGGTTGAACACTACACTCCTATTTTACGCACATGTGTTTCCTCAGGAAAGCCCTACACACAGAGATGCCAGCTGAAGGCCCTGTGCACAGCCCTTTTGGTAACTGTTACTGAACTGCTTTCCAAAAAGCTACAATGTTCACTTCCATCAACAATATATAAAACTGACTTCATTTTAAAAGTAGGAAGATTTAGCTGCATAATTGATACACAAGAGTGCAGTATACATGTTTCTGTATACACATAATAAAGTTCAAACCTCTAAATCTGATTAGCATAGTTTATATTTAGAATCTGTATTAACCTAATACTTGAAAATTCAATTTATTTTATAAACCCCGAGTGACGCCTTCACAGTGTAACCCTGAAGCTCTCAGTGCACCTTCTCACGCCAGAGCATGGGCACGCGAGGTGGCCTGCGTCCCCTGCTGGGCACGGCTCTCCCTCACTGCACCTGAGCTGGTGGGGGGACTCGCTTCAACCATAAGAGCACAGCAGAAGGCAGGTGGCCAGTACCTGAACTGGGCCTTCAAGTCCAGGCAGCTCCTGCTTCCGTGCTATGGGAAGCCAGCCACCCATTGGCCTGTCTCTTTGGGAAGGAGGATGTGGGGAGAAGGAGAGGATATGAGAGCACACGGGAAAGCCTCAAGCCCAGAGAAAACGCGCTCCCAGCATGGCTTGAGTGCCGCCACTGGCCCTTGGGCTTCGGAGCCATCTCAGTTCTGGCCTCTCAAATGTTAGTGAACATCCTACACTGCCCCTGTGTTCTCCGCCCAACTTAGCGACCTCTAAACAATGAAAAACAGTACAACAGTAGTTATTTTTAAGTCACTGAATTCTGTGATGGCGTATTTTGTAGCAATAACTAAAACTACTAAATACTTAAATATTTTTCCATACTGATGTCCTAGAAAATTAAACAATATTCTCAACCCTGACACCACAGAAGTGTTTACCTGACGTATTCTTTTTTATTTTCTTCAGTAACAGGGATACTTTTGCCATTTGGTTTAAGTTCATGCTGAATAATTTCACCATATGCATTATGCTCAACACAGAAGGTATGGTCCAAAACACCTGTAATATCATTCTCCCTAGACAGGAAACAGCGAGAAACACACATAATTGAGAAACCTGGAACACAGATCCTGAAGTGCATGAACTGGTGAGATGAGCGGAGCTGAGGCAGCTGCTAACACCAACGTCAGGTCAGACTCCTCTTCCTAGTTTCACGCTACCATCCCACCTTTTCTTAGGCAGAAAAGTCAAAGCACTTGAACATAAACACAGATTAATATTTTACTTTCCAAGTAGTGAGACCGAGCCACAATCAGAGCTAGACTTCGTTAGTCATGGCCTAGATTAGTCTCAGCTACAACAAGCATTCAGTGAAACAACCCCTTGAACCCCAGCACCTTGAGTATCTCAGTGAGAAAGCAACCTGTGTATTTTGTAAAGATAACTGTTGTACTGCCAATACAGCTTCCTCAACCAACTAAGAAGACTGTAAATAGAGTCACTGTTTCATTAACAATCAATGAGAGATAGCTGCAGCAGCTTGCGCTTGTATCCCAGCACTGAATCCCACCTAGGACTGGAGATGACAGCAAGTTCAAGTCCTACCTGGCAATTTAGCAAGATCTTGCCCCAGAAGAAAAGAAATAAAAATAAAAAAGGTCTGGGGTGTAGTTCAGCAGTACAGAGCCTCAGAGTTCCACCCTTCATACCACAGCTGCCTCGCTATCAACAGTGCCAGGAAGCTAGCGAAGCTTGCATCACGTTGAAGAAGTGCTACACACAGTACTTCTCTTTGGAGCCAGGGTCTTGCTACGCAGTCCTGGACGGCCTTGAGCACACCATGCCCTGCTGCAATGCAGCACTTTATAAACTACAGGTAGAGCACCCCTAATTTGAAAATCCAGAACGTTTTTAGGGGTAACATGATACCACAAGTAGAAAATCCCACACCTGACTGTATGCGACAAGCTGAAGTCAAAACAGAGGAATACTAAAAATATTTTTTAGAATTATCTGTAGGTTGTATACATACATAAGATACATGAAATAAATGAATTCTGTGTTTAGACTTGGGTCCAGTCCTCAAGATCTCAATGTAAATATTCTAAAATCTGAAAGGATATAAACTCTGAAACACTTCTAGTCTAAAATGTTTCACATAAGGGATGCTCAATGTGTGCCAGAATTTTTTCCTTTTTAAACTAATAGTACTCAAAGCCAGGGAGCACACCTCTAACCCTGGCACTCGGGAGGCTGATGCAAGTGGATCCCTGTGAGTTCATGGCTAGCCTAGGTTGTATACAAAGTGTATTTAAGGCCAGCCTGAACTACATAGGGAGACAGTCTTAAAAACAAACAAAAACAAAAATCTAGAAATACATGGTAACTTTAAGAAATTTTAGGGGCTGGAGAGATAGCTCAGTGGACTACAGCACCTGCTTAGGCAAGCACAGGGACTGTGGTTTGATCCCCGGAACCACATGCTGCGCCAGCCCTGCCCCCAGGGCAGGCTGAGCGGCCACAGTCTGGGCATAGTGGCGCACACCTGTAATCCCAGCATGGTGAGGTTGGAAGCAGGAGGATCACCACAAGTCCAAGCTGCATGGTGAGACCCTGCAACAACCTAATACATTTTTTAAAAAAAGAAAGAAATTTTAGAATTTCAAAATGTATAGGAGAGCAAAAGGGGAAACATTTTATGTGGTCCTGTCACACAAAATCACACTTTGTACTTCTGTACATATTTTCAAAAATTTAAGTTAAAAGGCATCAGTTTTGAAATTTTTTTTTTTTTTTTTTGTGGAACCGGGGATTGAACTCAGGCCTGTGTGCTTGCCAGGCAAGCACTTATTCGACTGAGCCATCTCCCTGGCCCTTGAAACATTTTTTGTAATGCTCATAATCTAACTACAGAATAATGAACAGATAAAAGACTCAGTACAATACATACAGTATCCACACCAAACTATTGTGAAGGTCTGGATCAACCAACTCCATATCATCCAATGTAATCGACTTTCCAAGCAGCTGTTTATAGAAAGGCAAAGTGAAGCCCCCATCGATGTAATGTCCGTGAAACACAGCCATCCCCATGATTCGTCCAACGAAGTGGAAATATGACAAATGTTCCTGAAATTGAAAAAGTCTATATAAATACTCAAATTAGAAACTATCCAGGAAGTTTTTGATAAAAAGTAAATATTTAAGCAACACCAAGCTTTATTAGTATCAAATTTATATGTTACATCTATTTAAATAGAAGAAGTTATATATCAAAGCACAGTAATCCCCAGGGAGTGTTTCTGTGTAGTACATTCAAGATTCTCTGCATCACTATAAAATACCATTTGAGGTCAATGCCTCTCAAGAAGTGAAGGTACTCTACAAAATTCATCTTTTAGGAAAGCACATTAAATGATCACACCACTGCAGCTTCTGGAAACCATCTCAAACCCCACTGTCCTCTTCTCATCTCCTGGTGAGGCCCCTGCCAGGGAAAAATGCTTTCACTCCTACATATCCCTGCTTCCTTGACAACTAGAAACTGAATTTCAAACTGCTACTGACTTAAGAGCAAGATGTGGTGTGAGACGTGGACTGGTCATGAGTCTGTCATCACTAGCTTTGTCTATCTGGTCAGAATAATTAGTCCCTGCAGGACTCTAGATCTACATCTGATCCCATGAGATAACGATGGCATCTGAGGAGGCTTTGAGAAGCACAGTGAGGTGGTGGAACCTTCAGCGTGGCTGGCTGACGGGATAGGGTGAGCTGGCAACGCCCACAGTGGATTCGCCCAGAAATCCACCTATAAGTCATCCTTCCACCAAGAATCCCGGCAATGAATCCAGCACACTGCCATGTTTGGATATATCTGATTTTCATCATACATTTCCTTTGCTAGTTGGGTGTTTGCTCTTTAAAATTCTTTTACTTCTGTATTTAACAAGCAACTCTGGGGCAACTCCTGTCTCTCAGAGCTATTCTCATTCCCTAGTCCTATTCCTCAATAAATTTTCCTATTCTTAAAAAAAAAAAAAAAAAAAAAGCAAGGTCAAATAACCTAAATGTTTTTTAAAAGTAGCTTTTAATTTTAAGCTCATCTTTAACTCCCTTAGATCTTAAAAAAAGAGTAACATGTTCATTACAAAATATTTAGATAACATATAAACCAAAAAAGAAACTTTTGAGGGAGTACTGGAAACTGAACTCAGGACCTCATGCTTGCCAGGCAGGTAGGTACTTGTGCCACTGAGCTATACCCCTGGCCCCCAAAAAGAAACTTTAACATCACCCACTACCTAACAGCCAGAGATAACCATTGTCAGTATCGTAGTGTATAGCCTTTCAATGCTCCCAACTGTGCCAGGTGTGCTGGCACACAGGTGCAATCTCCCCACTCAGGAGGCTGAGGCAGGAGGATCACCATAAGTTTGAGGCCAGCCTGGGTTACACAGTGAGTTTAAGACCAGCTTGAATTACACAGTGAGATCCTGACTTTTAAAAAAGTTCACATTTATATGTATTTATCAAAGTTGTAGCATACTTTTTGTTCTTTTGTTCTGGAAACAGGGTCTCACTATGTAGCTCAGGCTGGTCTTGAACTCATAGCAATCTTCCTGCATCAGCCTCCCCAGTGCTGGGACGATACATGTGTAGAACCACGCCCAGCCTTATTTACATTTAACACATCATGAACACATTATCGTAGGAGGGGCTGTGCAGTACGTCCTTGTATGAAAAGATAACAGGTTCAACATAAACAAGTTCATAGCAACTGGTAACATTCGTAAGTGCTTTCTAATGTATGAAGGAGTCAATAAAGCATAGTATTATGCTAAGTGCTCAAAGCATATAGTCCTGTTGAACTCTCCCAACTTCTCTCTGCAACACCAACTATATTAAGTATTATCAGCAATAAACTGAGCCTTCAACAGGCATGGTGGTGCACACCTGCAACCCCAGCACTCAGGAGGCTGCAGCAGTAACAGCACCTCGAGTTCGAGGGCAGCTTGGGCTGCACAGTGAGTTCAAGGCCAACCTGAGTTACATAGTGAGACCCTGTCTCAAAACAAAACAAAACAGAACAACTGAGGCTGAAGTCAATGAACTTGCCCAAGGACATAAAAAGCTATTAAATGAGACTATGATATCATTCAACATCTTCTGAAGTAATTCCAGAATCTATGCACATACTCAATTATATTATTGTTTTATAATTTAATCCTCATGCTTGTGAACAACTGTGTTGCTTTCAATTGAGGCTATTATAAATAACAAATAACCCTGTGCCTAGATTGTTGAACAAATCTATAATCGTTTACTTGAGCACATTTTCTATAAGAGGAGTTGCTGAGTCAAGCGGCAGGGCTATGACTGGAAGAGTAATTTCTATGTAATGCAGCACACTGACACATGAAGGTGAAAGGTCCTGCAGTGCCAATTTAGCCCACTTCAGAGCCCCTGAAAGCCATACCGGATTTACTGCAGAGTCAGGGTTGATCTGCAGAGTGTAGATGTCATCTCTTGAGTACTGGAACAGGCCATAGTACGGATTCAGCATTTCATGTGACAGGAGATACAGCCATTCCCTAGGAAACAAGATGTGAGAAGGGAATTGTGTTATATTCATCTACTGACTCATTTTGGTAGTGCTGTGTATTGAACCTCGGCCCTATGCCCTGAGCTGAATCCCCAGCCCATTTTTAAATTTATGGACCAGGTATCACAAAGTCGCCCACATTGGGCTTGGACTCACCATCTCTTGCCTCAGCCTGCCAGAGCGCTGGGATTGCATGCCTGCAACCACAGGCTGGCTATCAATACATTTTTATTAAGATATGCCATTAACTCACTTTAGCAAGTAATTTTCAACAATTAGTAAGTGAGATAAAGCACTAACTATAGCTAGATAAAAATCACTGAAAAAAAAATCTACCACACTTAAACAATAAATGAAAACTTGATTTATTATACTGAAGTTGCCACTCACTCAGCTTTGGGCAATTTATTACATTTTAGCATTAGACAATAGATAAGTACTGGCCATGAAGTGTGACTGAAAATTACAGTGAAGGTGTGTGAAAAATGTACTATAGTTCACTTGTCACAAATGGCTTTTATCAGACTGAGATTAAGGTCCTGTATTTTCTTCAGTGTTTTTTTATCATGAAAGGATGCTGGATTTTGTCAAAGGCCTTTTTTTTTTTTTTTTTTTTTAAAACCAAGTATTGAATTCAGGCCCTTGCACTTGCCAGGGAAGTGCTTATTCCACTGAGCCACCTCCCCGGCCCCTCAAAGGCTCTTTCTGCATCTACTGAGATGAACGTGTGATTTCTGTGCTTGCTTCTGTTTACTGAGGTACATTTATTATTTGCATATGCTGAACCATCCTTGCATCCCTGGGATGAAGCCTACTTGGCATGTCATATGACCTTTTTGATGATTCACTGAATTCTGTTTGCCAGCATCTTTTTGAAAATGTGTGCATCTGTGTTCATTAAAGGCATTGGTCTGTAGCTCTCGTTCTTGGTTGGGTCCTTGTCTGGTTTGGGAATCAGGGTGAAATAACAGAGTATTATGCTGCCATAAAGAAATACAGACTCGAGTCATTGGTAGAAGATGTGTGCACCTTGACACCATAACATGAAGTGAAATAAATCAGAGCCACAGATTAGACACTACATTGCTTCTCTTATGAGAGAAATCCAAAGTTGAAATAAAGAGCAAATAAAAAGAGAGCTAACAGTAAGCAGACAGATTTTTCTCAAAGCAGAAGGGATCAAGAGATGGATTTGGGAAGGGGATGAAAAGGATTAAAATGTGGTGTGTGCATGTACCAACTTAACCCAAGGAATGTAATTATTACACATTGCCAATGTAAAAAAGGGGAAGAGATCAAGAATAGATGGGGGAAAGGGGTTAAAAAAGGGACTAAGGTATGTTGTATATATGAATCAACTTTCCGCAAGGATTGTAATTCTGTACTACGAATATGTACCAAAAAAAGCCTGTAATCTCAGAACTCAGAAGGCTGAGGCAACAGGATCATTGCAAGTTCAAGGGCAGCCTGAACTACCTAGTAAGATTCTGTCTCAATCTATCAATGCATATTACCATAAAGACACACTGTTATCAATCCCCCCTTAAAATACCCCTTTTGTTCCAAACATATTTACCCCATCACCCTCAGCACTTTCTGAAGCAGCTCTGGAAACCCCCTTCCCCGAGCATTTTTCACTGTGCTCCTGTGGCTGTCTGGATGCCCTTAGTCAATTCTTTCGCGGTAAGTGGATGTCACATGGTGAATGGGGTGGACAGTGACACACTGTAACGTGCTCACAAGCTGCCCTCTGGGTGGTGCTCAGAGGCAGCGGCAGCCACTGAGTATTTTTTTAATCACACTTAAAGTCATTCAGGACAGGGGACTTTTAAAACTGCTTCCAAAGGTGGCCAGAACCATAGAATAAGTGTGTTCAAAGTAAGTCTTTTTTGGGGGGCGGTACTGGGCATCAAACTCAGGACCTTGCGCTTACCAACCAGGCGCTTATATTGCTGAGCTATCTTCCCAGCCCTCAACAGAAGTATTTTGAGAGGAATTAACAACAATGTATGCTTTACTGTAATAAATTTTTTAGAAATACAACCATCCACTGTATATTTTTATCATGCCCCAGAGAGGTTCAGTTACTCAGGAGATGCTATGGCTCAGCAGTCTGTTACTTTAAATGCTAAATGAATTTATAATGTGTGATGAATATAAAACGAAGGAGAAGTGAGCACGGTGGCACATGGTGTAGTCTCTGCACTTGGAGGCTGAGGCGGGAAGATCACTGTGGGTTTGAGGCCCACGTGGGCTACATAGTAAGTTCAAGCCAGCCTGGACAACATAGCAAGAGCCTGTCTCAAAAGAGAAGACTGTGGCTCTACTTCAACAGATCCACATCATCTAGGCTGTCCTAATCTATCTGTATCAGGGCAGGTTTATACTAGTTTATACAGATATAGAATACAGCTTTACTTTACTCTGGACAAAGGAGTATTTTTTTGCTCCGAATGCCTTCAGGGCATGATTGGCTGGCTTGAGTTGTGGGGATCAAACCACAGCAACCTGAGCCTGACTACTTTGTTGAAGCAGCCACTTAAAAGAACTGAGCTAAGGGGCAGGCCCCCTGGACAAAGGAGTATTTTGAGAAAATCTCACTACCTGCTTCGTCATCCTGAGAACAACTTAAGCCAGTATCACGCCAGAGATTCCACAGTGTACGGCACAGGCACAGGCACGGGCACAGACATGAAGGCCGGCTGGCTTGCACCATCTGGATGTGTTTCAAATCACTTCTTGATTTCAGATGCGTGTCAGTGTTTTATAAGCCTCCCAATAAACAGTACTGTCATCACCAACTTAGGAAATTCCTTATATCTTTTTCAAAATATAAAAGACAACCTGCTAATCACCTTCCTGAAAACAAAATAACATGGTCTAGATTTTTTTTTAATGTATTTAGTACAGGGGATACAGGGTTTCACCATGTAGACCAGACTCCAGTGATTCTCCTGTTTTCAGCCTCCTAAGAGCTGAGGTTACAGGTGCACACCACCATGCCCAGTCACGAGGGTGGGGTGGCTGCTGCGCTAGTCTGCTGAGCTGTCAGTCACCTAACTCTTGGTCTAGAATTTAGGAGATACAGTTCTAATCTGAATGCTTAACGTTTCTCAGGGAAAATTATTTAAATTATTTTTTGATATTATACATGAAATAGCCTGATTATACATTATTAGCAAGGTTTAAAAACAGGGCTCTCGATTGTGAAAGGGAAAGGCCTGAAAGTCCTTCTCACAGCCTGTGCAGGGGTGGTGGAGCCAGATTTCAGAGTCTCGCGGACTTATATGATCCACTAGGGAGTATTAAATAACTCTTCTGGTAGCAGTACTATCCTAATCTCATCATCAATACATGTATAAGAATTTTCTCTGTACTTAAAAATATCAGGGATTATTATACACGAAAATAAATGTCCATAAGAAAGTCATACCACAGAAAGTCTCTTAAATTTATAAATGATAAAGATCTGTATCATTAATTGACAAGTCTTTACCTAGCAACCCCTCCATAGTCAAGGCCTTCTTCTCCACGAAATTTTATCATTAATCGCTTCCAGAGATCTTTTGGTCTCATTTTCATAACCTGTCGATATGATTCCTGAATAAAAAGAAGCAAATATAGAGTATTATCATTATTAGGTTGTTTTAACCTGTTATATAAGCCATTTTCCCAATCCATCTCTAAAATGTAGTTTATATAAATAAAATGTAGTAAACAAATTGATAGATAAATTCCAGATACTTTAAAGCCTGTGGAGGAAGAGTAGGACAATGAGGTGAAAAGAACCTCCTGCAGGCTCATTCCCCTAAGGAGGGGTCTATGCCGTAGCGGGTGGCCTGCGGTGCTCCATATGGTGCTCCATATGCTGCGGGGTGAGGTCGAACGGTTTCCGGGAGGGCGAGCCTGGCTTGGGACAGGAGACACGAAGCTGCCTTCAAGTTGAAAATAAAGTTTGTGGAATTTTTTTTTAATGGCAGAAGGATTTTTGGGAGGAGGGCTGGCTCAGAATGCCTTCAGGGCATGTTTGGCTGGCTGCAGTTGTGGGGAAGGACCCACAGCAACCTGAGGCTGATTGCTTTGTTGAAGCAGCCACTTAAACAACTGAGCTAAGGGGCAGGACTCCAACTTTGTGGAATTCTAAAAACCTAAAAGATGCTAACTTAATTCTACTTCAAGTGATTCACTTGGTAAAATATATTAAAAACCTATTAGGTAAACAAAACAAAAACAATTTAGTTCTATGAGTCATAGAGGTGGTTCTACCAATAATAAAAACATAATTTGAAAAAAAAAAAAAAAAACAATTTGGTAGAAGTAGCTAATTCCTAAAAGCTGGCTGACTTAATTTTAGATCATACGCATCAGTAGATAGTAAATGTAAGAAAAACAAAGTTTCACAAAATACAAGAAATCATTTCTGTAATCTTCATTATACAAACAACTTTTTATTATTTTAACATATAAATGACTATCTTTTGTTTCCATATTCTGCTGTTGTGGTCCGCTGACCCAGCCCTAGCAAAGGGTCAATCATGGCCATACACGGTCCTGTGGACCACTGGCCCTACACACCAGCCCTCACCCATTTGTTCATAGTTTTTTTTTTTTGTTTTTGTTTTTTTTTAATGTACATACGCATTCATTCGTTTATGCTTTAGTGAGATCATCAAAGGAACCCACCACTCCATACATGTCAAGGCCCTGGTGCTGTTCCTGTGAGTGGCTCTGGCCTAAGCAGAGACATCTTGGTAGCAGCCCAGGGAGAGAGGGATGTAATACCACCCTTCAAAGATCCAGCAAGGGAAAGTGTAGATGCCTGAGGCACGAAGTTCTGGCTCCATCTTGTGTGCCAGACTCGAGGCTGGGCCCAGGGCAGAAAGGTTCTGCAGCAGGCTGCCTGGCTGTGCCGCGGCAGGTGCTCCTATGGAGCCCAAGCCAGCTTCACGAGACCCCTGCCTGCTTCAAGGTCTCCCTCAGGCCCAGCCACCATTGTCACCCCTACCTGCACTGCTGCCTCTGGTTAGCTGCCAGCACTGGCCCCCTAACAGTCTCCAAGGCCACCGCCACCTTTGCAAATGATTAACTGTATCAACAAGGTCAGAACTACTCTGAGAGAAAGTTTATCCTTTCAGAAAAGGATTATCAGATTTCCAGACATCTCTGGTTCAAAAATCCTCTAATGAGTAGGAAAGCCCTATCCTTCATCTCTGTCACTTACTTTGTAAGAACTCTGTAGCTGACATTAGGCTACAATTCAAAGATAAAAATGTATGTCACAAACAAAGGTTTTCAACAACTTAAGGAAGCAGTCAATAGTAATCAGATAAAATAGCTTATCTATTTAAGATTCCCTTACCTGGTGAACTAAACTAAAACTCTCCTCTTAAAAAAAAAGCCTCTTACCTTTCAGAAGAGTTAGAAAGTGAGGTCTTCACTAACAAGCATTTGCAGTGCAGAGGCCAAACTGTATGAGCCAGAATATCTGTCGGCATCACCCCATGGGCTTACTGTACACATTACAGCTTTCCACTATCACTGTCTTATTCCCACAATCAAATAGAAATTAATGAGACACTTCTATTCTAAAGAAATGCAAGTCTCAAGAAAGTGGGGGTTTTTTGGGCAGAAGTGGGGATTGAACTCAGGACCTTGCAAGAAAGTGTTCTTGAAAAAGGGAATGAAACATTAAATTTAATTGTCCTCTATTAATAATAATAATAATTTTCCTCTATTTTAAAATAAGCCTTAAAAGTTCACCTCAAAAATCTCTTCCCTGGAAACTTCGATGCGGCAGTGGCCAGCCTGAGGCTGTTGCTGGGAGAGCTCTTGCCGCAAGATCTTCAGCTTCTGCACCAGGTCTCGCTTGTACCTCGGCACGGTCAGGCACTCTGTGTCATCCGGGCACAGTGACAGCACCTGCTGCTGCTGCTGCTGCTGCTGCTGCTGCTGGTGGTCTTTCAGCTGGTTCTGCCGACTTGAAGTAAACAAAACATACTAGGAAAGTATTTTAGGCACACAACTAATACAGCATCTGACTGCACAATATGTCTAGTTATATCGTTTTCCAAGTCTAATTAGGACATACAGTTAGCCTGACTTATTTTGGTAACAACAAGCTAACTCTATAAAGTCTATTTTTTCAGAGTCCACATGCACTGACAACTGGATAATGGAGAGTTTTTTCTCTTCTCTCTATGGTACTGGGGATTGAACCTGCAACCCTGTACACGGTAAACAAGTACTCTACCACTGCGGCACAACCCCAGCATTAGATAAAACTTCATACAGCTGCTGAAAACAAATTTTCAAATACAATTTCCATTTCTTCGACATCATTCCATCATCCATTTAAAGCTTTAGGTAAATAATAATAATTAATTAACTTAAAAAAAATCTTTAGGCAAATGACAAATACTGTTTTCTAGAGCTGGTCTGCTGCAAGTGTAAATGGGAGTTGCTGGCAGGGCACCTCCTCCACCTCCCTCCTACGGTCAAGATCATGAGAATGGAGGTGCCTACGTGTAAGCCAGTGGTTCAAGGAACACGGACTTTACACGCATGCCTAAGTACTTTATAAAATGACCATGCTGTGTGTGAGCATTAAAATAAAATGTAAGATTTAAGCCATTTTAAGTGTACACTTTAGTGACAATAAGTACATTCTCTGTTGTGGTAAGATGACTTTTAAACACATATTCTATTAAAGTTTACCACAAAATGAAAATAATCCCCCAAGGACATCATAAATATATATATATTTTTTCTGGAACTGGGGATTGAACTCAGGCTCTTGCGCTTGCCAGGGAAGCGCTTATTCCACTAAGTCATCTCCCTGACCCCAATATAATAATTTTTGAGAATAAAAATTTTATTTTTTTTGAGAATAAAAATTTTAAAGATACTTGCCAAAGGTATATTTTTACTTTCCTGGCATAACATGTCAACAATAAATCATGTCTAATATTTTTGAAGAATCCTATGATATCATGACATAGTTAATTATAATTAGCTATCAAGAAATACAATTTTGGATTTGGTACTAACATCTGTATAGTCACTACATTAAAAGTGAAATTTAAAATTAATTTTACAAAGAACATACAAGACAACTGAACCTAAAAGTAAAGGACAATTAGCTATGGTAAAATACTAAAACTAGCTTTCATTTCTCTAAATAGATCACCCAAATTTGCATTACACATAGTGATTCTTACATACAAGCCAAATGTAACTATAGTACAATAACTATACAGAGAAAATACAGCATTTTGTCAATGTAAATATTAACTACTCTTCCAAACATTATGAAATAGACTATGTAAATAAAAGTATTCTATAAATAATCATATAGTCCTACTTAAAAAAAAATAAATGTAGGGAGCTGGGGGCATGTATGAAGCCCTGGATTGAATCCCTAACCCTGGCAAAAAACAAAAAAGATGGGCTGGTGAGATGGCTCAGTGGTCTAAAGCACCTACTTAGAACAAGCTAAGCCAAGCAAAGCACAGGGACCTCGGTTCAATCCCCCAGCACCACATGCCAGCCCGCCCGCCCCCTGGTGGGCTGAGCTGGCCACACACAAAATAAATAAATAAATAAATAAATAAATAAATAAATAAAAAAAAAAAAAAAAAAAAAAAAAAAAAAAAAAAAACCAACACCAACACACACCAGCATATTTTGCACCAGACATAAAATTAGTTTAAACTGGGTGTGGTGGTGCACACCTGTAACTCTAGACACCTGGCTGAGGCAAGAGAATCATAAGTTCGAGACCAACTTAAGCAATTCAGGAACTGAGAGATGTTTTTTCAAAAATTTAAAAATTTGAGGGCTGGCCAAAGAGCTCAGCGGATTAAAGCACCTGCAAGCAGGTGCAGGGGCTGGGAGTTCTATCCCAGCACAGCCCTGCTGGCCCCACCCCTGGGGCGTGCTGAGATGGCAATTGAGAGGCGTGGTGGCGCACGCCTGTAATCTCAGCCCCGGGGAAGCTGAGGCAGGAAGATCATCATTCAGTTTGAGCCCAACCTGTACTACATGGCAAGTCGCTATCTCAAAAACAAAGAATAAAACACACGCAAGCAGAGCAAAGCTAAGCAAAGCTAAACTAAGCTAAGCTAAGCCTAGCTAAACCAGCAGTGGCAAACCAGTGGCCCAAGTGCCACAGTGCAATATTTCAGTGTCACACTGAAAGCTCTAAAAGTTTATAGAACTTCTAAACAGAGGAGAACATCTTTTATGACTTCTGTAGGCAAATGATTTCCTTTTTCTTTTTTCTGAGACAGGTTTCACTACGCAGTTCAGGATGGCCTTGAACTCATTTTATAGCCCAGGCTGGCCTCAAACCTGCAGTGATCCCTGCCTCAGCGCGAGCACACACATGCGCATGTGCCACCATGCCTGCTGGAAATGACTTCTTAGATACAACAATGTTTAAGAAAGAAACAGATGAATGAAACTGTCAAGTTTTTTTTTTTTTTTTTTTTTAATTCTGCTTTTCAAAAGACACAAGAGAATTAAAAGAAGTCATGGATAAAACCTTTGGAAAGTATGTCTCTGACATACCTAAATGAAACTCAATAATAAAAAGCTAAATAGCTGTGGGGCTAGGAGAGCACAAGGATTTCACCAAAGATGATATATGGAAGGCAAATAAAAACAAGAACAGTGCCCAGCATTAGTCATCATTACAGATATACACATTAAAACCAGGATGAGATATTACAGTGTACCTTATCAGGATTCCAAAATTACTAAGGTTATTCATACCAAGTGTTAGCGAGAATATCGAGCAGCTACGCATTGGACTGTTCAATGACACAACCACTCTGAAAGGCAATCTGGCGCATTTTAAAAAAGTTATATATAGGGGCTGGTGAAATGGCTCAGTGGTCTAAAGCACCTACTTGGAACAGGCTTGGCAGAGCACAGGGACCACGGTTCAATCCCCCAGCACCACATGCCAGCCAGCTGCGCCCCCTGGTGGACTGAGCTGGCCACCCACACCCCCCCACACACATATAAATAAATAAAATTTAAAAAAAAAAAGAACTATTAAAAAAGTTATATATAAACTTACCATGTATGTTCAGCCATTCTACTCTTAGGTAATTATTTACCCAAGAGATACAACAGCATATGTCCATACAAAGATTTATGCATTAATATTTTTAAGAGTTACCTGTCACAGCCAAATATGGGAGACAGAACCTTTAAATATCCATTAATAGGTAAATGGATAAACTGTAGTATATCCATACAATGTAATACCACCAGCAACAAAAACAAACTACACATGCAACAATAAAGATAAATCTCAAAATAATACTGGGAAACAGAAACCAAACAAAAAAGAACAATACTACATGATCTCATTTATCTAAAATTCAAAATAGTACATAGTGACGGAAAGCAGCTTACTGGTCATTTTTGTTTGGAGACCAGGGTGTTTAGAAGACACCTGTGTCCACCAAAAAGATATGGTGAAGACCTAATCCTGAGAACCTGTGGGTGGGATCTTAACTGTAGACTTAATCAAGTTAAGGTGAAGTCATACTGCACTGGGATGCTGCAATAAATCCAGTAACTGGTGTCCTTATAAAAGAAGGGAAATCTGGATTCCGACACGCAAGAAAGATGTAACAACTGGGCACAGTGGCACAAGTCACTAGCAGGCTGAGGTGAGAGGACTGCAAGTTAATAGAATCCTTTCTCAAAATAAGAAAAGGGCTGGGGATATAGCTGAGTGCAAATACTCTGGGTTTAATTTCCAGTGCAGTATCACCGAACACCAAAAAAAAGAACAGAACAGAACAGAACAGAACAGAACAGAACAGAACAGAACAGAACAAAAGGATGGCTGTGAGCTGACAGACGACAAAGACTGGAGTGGTAGTCAATGAGCCAAGGACTGTCACCAGAATAGGCGAGAAAACTACCAGAAGTTCAAAGAAGAGCATGAACTCCCTTCTCCCTCAGCAACTCAGAAGGAGCCAAGCCAGTGACTGCCTCAGTCTGGATTTGTAGCCTCCAGACCTGGAGAGAATGAATTTCTCTTGTTATTGCCATCTGTGCTGTTCTATCATAGCAATCCTAGAAAATTAATGTTCCCCAAAGTTGCATGTCCAAAGGTGCGGCTTCTGAAAGATGAGCAGGTGAGGGGCCTGCAGAGGAGTGTGAGTCCACTGACAAGTTCACAGCAGACTGTGCTGTGCGCAGAGGGGGCGCGTCACAGAAGAGGCAGACCAGGAGGCCATGACCTGGGGGTGGGGGACAGGAAATGTTCTTATTCCTGGCTCCCACCCTGTGCTGCATCCCTGCTGCCATGGGACAAGCAGCGGTCCTCAGGCAGGTCCGCCTGCTACACCGCTTCTGCCTTGGAGCCAGCTGACAGGCCAACCCACGGAAACTGTGAATCAAGTACTCCCTGCCTCCTCTAAGTTGCGGGTTCCAGGTATTCTGCTTCAGCAACAGGAAAGTAAGTCCTCTTAATGAATAGAGGGATTTGTTCTAATAGTGTTTGTAAACAGGATATCATGTCTGCATCTTATACAGCAATTAACCAGTAGGAAGAATGTATGCAATGTGTTAATTATTGAAACTGTCCTACCAATTTGGTCTGAAACTGTCTCTTTGCTATTTGTTTCTCAATAAAATTATGGGGAAAAAAACCCAAGATGATAGGAAATAAAAAATGGTTGTTATATTGAAAAAAAAATACATATTATGAGTTTTTTTTGTTTTTTAATGTATTTGGTACAGGGTCTCACTATGCAGCTTGGACTGATAGTGATCCTCCTGTCCAGCCTCCCCAGTGCTGGGATTACAGATGTGTGCCACCATACCTGGTCTTGGTCGCCAGCTCAACATGCCTGGGGGCAGGGCCCGTGAGGCATGTGGTGCCAGGATGGAACTCCAGTCCCTGTACTTGCTGAAGCAGGCACTTAGTCCACTGAGCTATCTTGCCAGCCCTACATTTCAAGTTTTAAATGAACAGAAATAAAACATTAAGAGATATAAAGTTTTCTATACAAAATAGCCTGATATATGTAAAGATTAATACATGAGCAATTAAATGTTAAAGTTAGTGCCATATATATATATAAAATTTTTTGGGTGGAGAGTTTTTGAAACAGGGTTTCACTGGCCTCAAATTTGCAGCAATCCTCCTGCCTCAGCCTCCTAAATGCTGAGATCACAGATATACGCCACCATGCCCACCCAGCAGAAATCTTTTTAAAAACTGCAAATAGAGGTTAAAATTGTTTTTTGTGCCTCACTGCAATGAATTCACTTTCACATTAGGTTTTACCTGATACATCTGAATAAAAGCTCCTTTATCACTTCTAATTTTTGATAGAAAACCTAAAGATACGAATAATTTGTACATATTCTGCCTGATACAGACGAATATTAAACCCATGGGGAAGACTTGCCAGGATAGAGACTTCTAAAGATGCTGACAGTAGTTATGAAATTCTGTCTTTTTAAAAAACAAGTAAAACCACCCCAAATATACAAATACTCAAGCTTCTCAGAGCACAGTGACTTACAGTTTAAGGCCAACGAAAAGGGGTGCAAAAAATACCTCAACACTAAAACACATTTTCAAATTAAGGCTTTCTACTAGGACTAGCGACCCACTGGGCAATGTGGGACGGACTGCCCACGTAACTGAAGCTAAGAAGCAGAACTGGAAATAACTGTGAGATGAGCAGCCCAGTGTCCTTCAAGTTACTTCTATCTTTCACTCCAACAAACAAACAAAGTAAAAATCATTTCTAATCATCTCATCATCTCAGCTTTAGTTCTTTCTTTGGAACATTAACTTTCATTCAATTATTTAATTAAACGATTTAGTGAAAAAAGGTACACTCTGAAGTGTTCTGCTGATAACATCAAGCTGAGCTTCTATTACCCAAAGAAATGATCCTGAAGGCACACAGCTGTAATCCCAGCGCTGGGGAGGCTGAGAGAGACAGGAGGATCACTATGGCCCAACATGCATAGTGAGATCCTGTACCAAATAAATAAATACATCTTAAAAAAAAAAAAGGTTCAAATGGTCAGCAAACCTATGAAAAGGTAGCCAAACATATTAATAATGACAAATTAAAGTCACAAGATGCCATTAAAAACAGCATCAGACTGGAAAAACATTTTTTTTTTTTTTTATTTCTTTTTTTGTATTTTAGGGAAGGATCTACAGGGTGTTCAGGGTCTCACTACTAGATCGGACTCGTAGTGATCCATTTGTTTACAGCCTCCCAAGAGCTGGGATTACAGGTGCACACCACCATGCCCAGTCTCAATTGCCTTCTCAGTGTGCTCCGGGGGCAAGGGCAGCACAGCAAACCCAGGGATTAAACCCCCAGCCCAGCGCAAATTCGCTGAGCTATTTGGCAAGCACTTGGAAAAACATTTTAAAAGTACAATAAACAACTAAATAATGGCAAGGTTCTGGACCAGAAAGAATTCACATACTGTTAGCATACGGGTACTTTGGAAAAGTAGCCCTTGTGTTTCAAGGTTGAAGATAAAAAGGTTTCATGATGTTGCAATTCTGCCACTCCGGGGCGCCCCAGAGCAGCATTACGTAACCATGGAGCACGCGCGCACCACTTTTCCAGCGCTGTGTCCCCTCCGCTGCGTGGGAACAGCGATCATGCCTCTCTGCATTTCATCGAACGTTTACTCTTTGGAGACTTTCAAATACTTGTACATTTCATTTGTAAACCAAGGTTTAGAATGATTCACAACAGAGCAAGATGTAGTGACACAAAGAGACATCCAAGATAATTACACATTTAAAGAGAAAAATCAAAAAGATATTTTAAATGTTTTCTTCCATTATTTGAAACAGGGGCCGGGGAGATGGCTCAGTGGAATATGCACTTGCCTGGCAAGCGCGAGGGCCTGAGTTCAATCCCTGGTTCCACCAAAATAAATAAATAAGTAAAGCCATTATTTAAACAACTGATAGCCACCTCTTAACTGTTTCCCTCTATTTAATCTATTTCTGAAAAGGTTAATGAAACAAAGGTACTTTCCAAAGTCATTTAAGGTGCATTATGCAATTAATTTTGTGTTAGAATTTTTATATTAGAGGTACTCCACTTGTGAGCACTTGTGTTAATGACCAAGAATGGCAGAACAGCTAACGCCATTTACTGAGAAATGCTAGAGTGAGTTATTCTGGAGTCACAGAAAACCTTGCTTTTCAGTTGCTTCCTTGCTTTTTTCTTTTTTCGCTTTGCTGCAGGCATCAGACCCAGACCTTGCCCACTTCACGTAAGTCTCTACCTGAGGCATACACTGAGCTATAGCACCCGCCCTTGCTTACCAGATTCCAATGCCAAGAACCCTGCTGCTACCTCACTACTGAAAAAGACACTGCCACTTTGCTCGGTAATGAAATTTCCTTTCTCTTTTCCTTCTCCCTCCCCTTCCTAGAAGACAATGACAGTAACAAAGTCAGGAAAAAAAACCCCAAACAAACAGGCATCTAGAGGGAAAAAATAGCAAAGAGTACAAACAGCACACACACAATGCCAGTATAGTGGCCAACAGCAGGTTAAAGCCAGGGAGTCAGGGTATGAATCAGGGCTCTGTCACTTACTGACTTACAGAGAGTCAATTCCTATAGCTTCCTTCTTTATAAACCTGCAGTAACTGTATCACTGAGGATGAAACTACATTCTGAGGATGAAACTGCTCATACACGTACAATACAGAGAACGTTGTCATACAGAAGCGCTACTAAAATGTCAGCCACTGAGAGGAGTAGCTGCACTGGCAACACCACGTTGGCCTTAACTCCTCCTATCAATGTACAGACCCTGAAAAGCCCCTTCTAGTTAAACATTCTTCATACATATCATTTTCCTGACATTTTAGGACTGGTTCCTACTCAGTCAAGTACAGAATTACAATATCCATGTCAGCATAAAATGTGCTATAGCTCTTACATAAAATCTGATCACTAAAAGTAAATTATAAGATGAAGAGAGCAGATATTCTTTCACATTTACCACAAAAAAACACCTATCAAATTTCCTCTTGTTCAGACTAGCATTTTAACATGTTTTAAAAACTTACTTTAAAACTAAATGCAAGTTAGCAGAAAGCCGAGGATCTGTAAACTGTGTTGTTCTGTTGTTATGGTCAACGAAATAAACTCTGCCTGTTGCAGTGTTACGGATCTCCCATCCAGGAGGCAAAGGACCAAGCTCTTCACAATTGATGTTGCTAAGATCCCTGCAAAAACAAATATAAAATAAAAAATACCTCACTGCTGGGCCTGCCGAGCCACGCAAGTGTAAATGACACAGAACAATTCCATGAAGTCTGAGAAAATGTATTGTTTCAGAAACTTGAGATGTTTAGCTGGAATCTTTTATTCCCAGTGGTTTAACAAACTCACATATTCAAAACCCAATCCATAAATGGCTCAGAAGAATTTATCCCGTAGTCTCCATTTTTAGTAAGTTAGTTCCTGGGTTTTAATGCAATACAGATTTTAAATTAAAACAAAAGCAATCCTGACATTTGCCAACATAAAATATACTTCAACATCTGACAGAAAGTATTGTGCTAAAGTGCTAGTGATATAAGGAATTAACTGTTTCCTAAAATTGCCCTTCAATTATTTCTATATCATAAAAACTTGTGTAAATAAGTGTGTATTCCATGAGTAATTTAAGCTTTCCAACAAAGCAAAATTGGAAATGATATTGAAATGATCCTAAAAATAATTACAATATATTCATTAAAGAATAACTCCTTCATTTTGTATTTTCAAATATATAAAGCTAGAAAATAAAGAACCTGCTTGAGGCACCAAAGGAAGGCTAGGGTGGGGGTGCACACTTGTAATCCCAGCGCGGTGGGAGAAAAGGCAGGCAGATCCCAACTTCAAGCCCAGCCTGGACAGCTTTAAAGACCTTTGCTCAAAACAAAAACAAACAAACAAACAACTAAATAAAATGCAAGGAAGAAAGAATTCTCTGATTTACTTGCTGAAATTTAAAAAAATATTTTAATGAACCAAGGACTGTTACCAATTACAAGTGAAGTACTATTAAGCAAGACAAGGACTTGTAAGACCTTAAGGAACAAACTAAGAAGCCGCCACACTGCTGCACACCCTGGTGTGCCAGGAGAGGGTGCAGAGTGGGCATGGAAACCTGCCCTTGGCCCTGCCCTAGGCACTGCTTCCTTTTGTTCACTAGCCAGCAGGAGGAGGACTGGAAATCTTTATTCTCAACACTGTTAGAACAAAATATTCCAGAGTGAAGATTCCAGAGTGATAAATTACTGCCATCATCTGCTAGGACAGTTAAGTCACTGCCTTCAGTGACCCCACTGAGGCTACAAACAATGATAAAAGAAGTTCAGGGCGTTTCCAGCACTAACAGAACGCTTCACACTTCTGAGACCACCTGTAAGCTGAGAAAATACCACGCTATGAGAAAGACCAAGCAAACCAAGCATCTGGGCAGTAAGCAGTTACCTTTTGTGATCCTCTTTCTATTCAAAAGGAGGAGGAGGGGAAGAAAAGCTGTATATTTAGATTTTCAAAATAACACTTTAAAAGCTAACGCAGACTTTTTTTTTTTTTTTAACATAATCTCTTCTTACAAGTCACAATGAAGAGGAAGAGGAGATGGAAGAACAACAACAAACAGCTGGAGAGAGGGTCAACAGTAAGTTTGGAGATCTTGAACTTTCTTTGGAAAGGAAACCTAGAAGAACTTCCTCACTGAGCCAACCACTCAGTGGGAGGAATGAAGAGATTCCAAGAACACTTCCTAACTTCCCAGTTTAGGCTGAAGGACTCCAACTAATGAAGATCAGACAATAACCCCAATCTAAGATCACCAGAAAGGAAGGCCATGGTGACAGTGAAACAATGAGCCACAGAATCAGATCCCCAAACACTGTTAGAAAAAGAGGTTACCTGTGAAATGTAATGTTTACAAGGATGCAAAGAAACTATCTATGAAAGATTAAAATTATACAGGTAGAATTTCTTAAATGGAACTTTAATTAATTTATGTTCTGAGATAGGGTCCCACTGTGTAGCTCAGGGTGGCCACGAACTGACTGCATAACCCAGGTGACCCTCCAGCCTCAGTGTGCTGGGATTACAGGCATGCACACCCGGCGTGACGGAACTTGCAGAAGAAAAAACAAGAATTGAAATCAAAGAATGAACAATTCGACATGGTGCCGCATACCTGAAATCTCACCACTTTGAGGGGTTAAGGCATGAGGATCAATGGGAGTTCAAGGCCAGCCTGAACTACACAGTGAGACCCTATCTTAAAAAAAAAAAAAAAAATTCTATTGATAGAATGCAGAATTTGATTTTATCGTTTTATTTCAAATTTTATAGATCTATAAGCATACATAGGAAAGCTCTAAAGCACTTAAAAGAGCAAAATCTGGGAAATAATCTTTATGTTCGGTTGGGAACTGATTAAAGAAAATGGGATGTCATGAAGCCATAAAAAGTTACCCAAACCTGCATTCCAAGACCACAGTCAGCAACAGAAGGGCTAACAGAGTCTCACTCATTGCTTTAATCAAAACTGTGAGCTATCATAACTGGGATTCCACAGAGAAATCCACAAATATACTGGATCTCTTTAACGTCATTACAGAATGTTTGATTTACATCACTTTCTAAACATCTTTGAATAGTGATGCTATTTTAATAGAATCTAAACACATACTATGCTCTGATAAAAGATCATACAAAGGAATATTTGCTAATAGAAGCTCCAACATAAAAGATAAATCTATACATTTTTTAGATAATTTGTGGCTTACAAAGACTAAAGAAAAGCAATAAAGAGTATTACTTTACTTCATAATTCAAAACAGGTATTAATACTTGTTATGAGGGCCTGGGGAGATAGCTCAGTAGAATAAGCACTTCCCTGGCAAGCGCAGGGTCCTGAGTTCAATCCCTGGTACTGAAAAGAAAAAAAAAAAACCCAACAATTTGCTATGGCTTGTGTCCAGACGGCTGCCCTAGGCCTGCGCAGCCATGGCAGGCAGGGCTTTCGGAGGTAGGTCACTGGCGCCCTGCTTGCTTGCTCCCTGCCCAGCTTTGCCATGGACTGTCTGTCCTCTCCTAAGTTTGGGAGGCAGGTATTTTGTCTCAGCAACAAGAAAGGATAACTTTTTTGGTGGTGGTGGTGGTGGTTCTGGGGATGAAGCCCAGGAGTACCCTATCCCTGGAATATAATCCATCTTTTCAATTTCTTTTTCTTTTATTTTGAGATAGGGTCTCATTAAGTTGCCAGGATGGATAGAAATTTGTCATCCTTCTGCCTCAACTTTCCAAGTAGCCGGTATCGCAGGAGTGCAACAACATACCTAGCTTCAATATAAAATATTTTTATATAAAATCTTACTTTATAGAAACCTTTTACTCACTGATGAAAAATTTACATTTTTCCTTAGGAATAAAAGCATATTACCACAGCAGTGCTGACACAGATCTCAGCTTCCATTTCTGTCAGCAGTGAATGCCAACATTCTCACTACAGCAAATGATTTAGTTTCTAAACATCATTTTTTTCACCAGGCATGGTGGTGCACACCTATGATCCTCAACAGGGAGGCTGAGGCAAGAGGATTGCTACAAGTTTGAGGCCAGCCTGGGCTACATAGTGAGTTCAGGAGCAGCCTGAACTATGTAGTAAGAATCTGTCTCAAAAATCAAACAAACAAAAAATCATTTTTTCCTATACATTCCCTGCCAAAGACTTCAAATCATTTTAAAGAAGAGTTTTTATCTTTAACTTGGTAAACAGAAAATACAAAAACTTCATACTTTAACAAAACTGATCTCTAAAGGTTAGACCCTCAGACTTTTTTGAATTTAATACACATAAAATTCCCTCTCCATTACTCCTTAAAAACCAGTATCTTTTACTGTTTAAGACACAGAAACAGCTGAGCATGGAGATGGACATTTGTAGTCCCTGCATTTGGGAGGCTGAGGAGGACTGCGGTGAGTTTGAGGCCACCCTACGTGGGCTATGAGTTCAACTCAAACTTATAGAGATCCCCCTGCCTCAGCCTACTGAGCACTGGGATTACATATGTACACCATGTCTGGCCAACCTCCTTTTTTAAAGAGTATGTTTTCTCCAGCTTAATTTCAAATTCCTAAAAAACAAGCATGGGAGGGGGCTGGCGACTAGAGGGGTGGAAGGGGTTGGTGTGCTACTACAGAGAGTGGCCAAGACTTTCTGCTAAATCTTAAAATGAAATTTCGATCAGAAAAAGCCTTTCAGAGGGGCAGCCAGAGAGCTCAGTGAATTAAAGAGACTGATTAGGCAGATGCAGACACAGGTTCGATCCCTAGCCTGCTGTGCTGCCCTCCCCGTCCCCCCACAGTGCACTGAGACAGCAATTGAGGCTGGGCGTAGTGGCATACACCTATAATACCACCACTTGGGAGGCTGAAAACAGGAGAATCACTACAAGTCCAACCTGTGTAGTAAGACCCTGTAGACCCTGTACTAAATAAATAAGCCTTTCAAAATATTTCAACATATATGTTAATTTGTTTCATTTATACTACCAGTTTCTCTTAGTTCATTGAAAAGCAAGTTCTGTGCCATTATCTGTTCATTTCCTTTTTGTAAGAGCCTTGTTTTGTCTAAGACTTGTGCCCTGAGTAACATCTGAACCATTCTTTTATGATTCTGGTACACGTGGCCAGCGAGCTAGCTCAGCAGACTCAGTGCCTGCGTAGGCTTGTGCAGGGACCAGGTTCAATCCCTGGCATCACAGGCCACGCCAGCACCACTCCAATACCACTCCAGGGCACGTTTAGCCAGCCACATAGAACAGGTGCTGTGGTGCATGCCTATAATCCCAGCACTTGGGGAGGCTGAAAACAGGAGAATCACTATGAGTCTGAGCTACATAGCGAGACCCTGTACCAAATACATTAAGCGGGCAAGAAGGAGATTAAAAAAAAAAAAAAAAAGATTCTGGTACACAGTGTACTAACTACTGTTATTCCCTGATTATTTTGTTAGGAAGTTTTTGTTTTTTATATTTTTTACATTAGTAAAAAGAGTGCTTTTTATATCTGTTAATATCTACATGTGTTACATTAAAACAAATAAAACTACCAATAACAATTAAATGAAAAACTTAATAGTGTAAGTTTAGAAATTACAGCCTTAAAAATAAAAAAAAATTGGGGCTGGGGAGATGGCTCAGTGGAATAAGTGCTTCCCTGGCAAGCACAAGGGCCTGAGTTCAATCCCCAGTTCCGAAAATAAATAAATAAATAAATAATAAAAATAAATAAAAAAAATTGGGCTGGGGAGATGTGCCAGGTCCTGAGTTCCATCCCCAGTACCAACAACAACAACAAAAAAGAAAAATCCAAAAATTTCAGTGATGGGGCTAAAAACACCAAGAAGGCCCAAATCAGCAATGCAGGCGCTGCTACGCCGCGTCCCGGGCAGCACCCCGAGCACACGTGCTCCTCCTGCAGCGAGACTGAGAGGCGGGCTCTGGGGATCTGGCACGCGGGTCCTGCGCAGTGATCTGGCTGCGGGGTAGAAGCACTGGACCTACAAGGCCATTTGCTACTGGTCAGTTTTGCTGGGAAGAAATTAAGTGCGAGTTCCACCCTGTGAACCATTCTTAAATAAATGGGTTAATTTATGTAACAAACTACCTTGGTTTGTTGTTAATTATATCAGACATCCTGGTTTTTGTTTTGTTTTTGTGACAGGGTCTCGCTAGGTAACTCAGGCTGGCCTCAAACTCATGGTGATTCCCTCTGCCTCAGCTTTCTGAGTGCTGGGATCACAAGTGTGAGCCAAGATGCCCAGCCTTAGACATTCTGATTTATACTGCATTAATATTAGCTTTTTGGGGCCAGGGAGATGGCTCAGTAGAATAAACGCTTGCCTGGCAAGCATAAGGGCCTAAGTTCAATCCCTGGTTCCACAAAAATAAATAAATAAATAGCTAGCTTTTTTGGGGAACTGAAGTCCTTCTAATTCAAATGGAAAAAAATTTCCTGGGATGGGTTATAATCTAATGTTTTTTCTTCTTCCAGTATTCAAATGATACATCATAAGAACATAAGCCTTACAGGAGAGATGTTTGCTTCAGTATTCTATAAGCTTATTCTTGCAAGCTCAGCCACTCTGAGATACACTGGCATAGACCGGTGGCAGCAAGCGCACAGCACACACGCTACAGCAGGCTGCCGGCAGCACTGAAAGCACTAAAGCGTTCGCCATCACTGCTATACACTGGGCATTTTTCTCTTTTTAAGTAATATTTAAAAAGAAAATTTATAAAATTGTAGAATATATTAAGGCAGACAAAAGACATTTAAAAATAAACTTGGGGTGAGATGGGCTTGCATGGCACGAAGGCACTCACGTCCTTACCGAGGCACTCTGGGGTCATGCCACGTGCTCACACCAGTCTGAGTATGCAAGAAATACACCTGACCTTGCTGTGTTGTCCTCTGCTCTGTAAAACAAAGAAAGTTAGCATCAAAATCAAATTAGAAGGTCCACATCTAAGAAAGTTACATGCACTAGGATGATATACTAAGCAAGACAATCTCCAAACTACCAATCTATTTTGTTATGAAAAATGACTTTACAGTTGTATATTTACTTTCCTCTTTGTTTCATTTTTTAATAAATTTTTTCAATCAATTATTTATTCATTTATTTATTTATTTATTTAGTACAGGGTCTTGCTATGTTGCTCAGACTTGTAGTGATGCTCCTGTCTCAGGATGTGGTACTAGGGATCAAACCCAGATCCTGCACTTGCCAGGCAGGCCCTTAGACCACTGAGCTATCTTCCTGGCCCCTGAAAAATGACTTTACAAATCATTTGTTCTGTACCCTGGAAGCAATTTCATAAATAATAATGAGCATTATAGGCCAGCTATGTAAAAGTTAAACTAATAATGTGCCCAAACATGTTGCAATGGAAAAATAGAAAAAACTTTCACAATACCAATAATTACAAAGACAAAACAAAAACAAATGCTCTTTTATTCTTCTTCAACACAGCCTGAAGGGAGCAGGGGAAGGTGCAGGAGAAGTGGTGGGTCAACTCTGGGGAGATGGCCCAGGCTTTTAGGAACTTAAAGAGCGTCTGGAGGCTGGTAATGTTTCTTTCCTCTTTTTTTTGACAGATATTCTTTCAAGGCTACCTTTGAGCTCAAACAGTTATAAAACAACTAAAGATGAAGAGTGGACACCGAAAAAAAGAGTGTACACTGAGGAAAACAGTCAAAGGTGAAGCTAACACACAGCCCTTGGCTTCGAAGAAGGCAGGGAAGCCAGCGTGAGAGGTTCTGGTAACAGAGCTCCTTCAGTAATGTACTTTTTAGTCTTTGTTTTCTCAAGCAAAGAACCAGTTTTCAAACAGAATCTAGCAAGAAACCTTGATATATAAGACAATAAAACTACTGCTAACATTTTAGTATGAGCTTACTTCATTTATAGACCCCATAACAAAGTCAATAAAATGTTTAAAGTCAGTTACGGATGAGAGCTGCAAACATGTCGGCCTTATCCACTTCATTCCTATGTTGTACAATTTTTTTTAATTGCACAAACACTGTAAAAGTATAACAATTTCTACTCTTAAACTATTTACCTTATAATATCAAAGAGAAATGGCAGGAGATACTTTAAGTCTGAACACAGATAATTAAACAGCTAAATTTTACCAAGTATTTTCTATGCCAGAGAGTGTCAGTACTTCTTAAGAAAGCTGTATCACTCCTTGCAGACCAACCTACACAGATGGCGCTACTATTTCTCTCATTTTAAAGAAGGTAAGGGTTAGGGGCGTACCTCAGTGGCAGAGCACGTCACTCGGCCTAACATGTGCCAGGCCCTGTTTGTTTTTAAAACAAACAAAAACAACCTTAAGAAAATGGGACTAAATAATATGCTCAGTGTAACACGGCAAAGCCTGGATGGGATTCGAAGTTTTTCTGTTTCACACTCTAATCGGTGGGCAAACTATTTTCAAATTAAAGAATTAAAATATGATTTAAAATAGAATCATTCAAACTTACATTAGGCAATTCCTAATGTTGGTCATTAGGTGTCACCACTAGCCTAACAGTTTCATCTGAAGTCAGTGTAGGAGCATAAGGACGTAAATGTCTTGTTTAACTTTTGTGGACAGTCAAGTTTATAGTACGTGAATATTTACAAGTTGAGATTAATTTAGAAAATTCTGTCAATTCCCTGGTACTAGTACCAATTCCCTGGTACGGGTACCACATGCCTCGCCAGCCCTACTCTTGGGCACACTGAGCAGGCAAGTCTGGGTCTGGTGGCGTCCCTGTAATCCCAACACTGGGGAGGCTGAAAACAGGAGGATCACTATGAGTCTGAGCTGGGTAGTGAGACCCTGTACCAAATACATAGAAGAAAAAAAAAGAAAAGAAAAGAAAAGGAAGTTCTGGTTTCTATTAGAAGATTTATGTCATTTGACATATGAAATTTTATATTTCTAGAAAATTATTTAAGATTCCAATCATTTTATATATTCTACAACTAAGTAAGTTACAACAATCCAGTTATCTAGATAATTCAAAATCACAGGTAGTACAAATATAATAAATACCATCCAAATGATTTTTGAAATGATTTCTAAATATGGTTGTCTTGAAAAACACACTGCAGGTCTGACTTCTTCATATTACACTTATCTATAACAGTATTGCCTTACTTTATACAATGCCTATTTGCAAAGTAGGTCTCACTTCATTTCATACACTTCTCACAATACCTCTGTAACAAGGTATCCATCATCTTTCTTTTCTTTTTTTTACACAAGGTCTAGCTATGTAGTCCAGGCTCACAATGTAGTGAACTCACTGCATTGTCCAGGCTGGCTTCAAACTCGAAGCAATCTCCTGCCTCAATCTCCCAAGTGCTGGGATTACAAACTCATCATATTTCAAGTTAAAAGAGAAAGAAAGGGGCTGGTGAGATGGCTCAGTGGTCTAAAGCACCTACTTAGAACAAGCTTAGCTAAAGCACAGGCACCACGGTTCAATCCCCCAGCACCACATGCCAGTCAGCCCCGCCCCCTGGTGGGCTGAGCTGGCCACACACACACACACAAATAAAAAAAAATAAAAATAAAAATAAAAGAGAAAGAAAGCTGAGATTAATGACTAACCCAATGATGAACTGTTGGTTATATAGTCTTCTACCACCTCAAAAACTTTTCAAAGTTAGGAGGTGCCTGAGTTACTTTTTCATTGCTGGGACAAAATACTCGACAACCGCAAGATAAAAGGAGGAAAGGTTTATCTCATAGTCTGTGGAGGTTTCAGGCCACAGTCAGCTGGCTCCAAGGCAGGGCGGCACAGCAGAAGCGGGTGGCAAAGCAGCAGCAAGCCTCCCTTTCTCTTTTATCCCATCTGGGCTATGAGCTTTTCGGGTGGTGCCACCTACACCCAAGGAGGGCCTTCCCATTATCCACACCAAGAGCCACGCTAACCCAGTCAGTGAAATAGCATATGACACACACTTTGAAGCCAGCAGCATCAGCCAGCTCAAGAAGTCCTCCTGCAAGCATGTAAGGCTGAGGGCATCCAGACACAGGCCTAGCAGGTGGTTCTCATTTTCAGATAGAGCCCTTACGCCCAAATTAAAAACTTTCAAATTGATGTTATGACTTTTTTTTTTTTTTTTCCCGGTACTGGGAATTGAACTCAGGACCCTGCACTTGCCTAGCAAGTGCTTAATCTACTAAACTATCTCCCCAGCCGTTATGACTCTTAACAAGCTGAGATTAGTAAGCCATACTCTATTTTAGCTAGTTAACATACCATAGCCTTCTGGTAGGTCTGGAGGAGTATGTAAGTGTGTCCTGCTCATGTAATTTCTATGTCGCTGTGACCTGACTCTCCTCTCAGCCAGTCTGGGATCTGAAGACTGTCCACACGTTGCACCATTTGATCCACTAATTGGAGTGTTCTCATCAACAAAGCAGCTAAGAGGTCTGCCGGGGCTAGAATATTCAGATGCAGGTCTATGGAAAAGCAATAAGGAAAAATGTTATCAGTTTAGATATCAAAAGAGTTCACTAGATAATATATATTACAGTAATAATTGCCTACCATATAAGAAAATGGGTTGACTCACACAAATATAATGATTTCAAGAACTCGGGTAAAAACAAGCCTGAGTCTCTAGGTAGCACAGAAACTCACGAGGTAGTACATCACTTACATATTTAAATGGCTTTATTTGATTTTAGGTATAGATATAGACAGAACTGTTTGCTGTTCATCTTGTTTTGGTTTTAGTGGTACTGGAAACTGAACCCAGAGCTTCATACACGCTGGGCAAGTGCTCTACCACTCAGCCCTTTTTAGTTTATTCTGAGACAAGGTCTCACTAAAGTTGTTTTGGACAAACCTGAACTTAAAACCTTCTTGTCTCAGCCTCTCAAGTAGCTGGGAGTACAGGTGTGAGCTACTGTATCTGATGATTTTAATTATGTTTTATATGAAATCCAGATATATCAGTAATTTGAGTACTGACTTACAAAGCATAAACTGACCTTGATACAGCCTTGGACCTGATCTCCTAAGATCTGGCTTCTGCCACGCTGACTTCTTCCCGTTTCTTGAGCTTCCCAAAGTCAGTTTCCCTTTAGTCCTTACAAGCAGTTCCTCTTCTTTCCATACAACACTCTTCTCTTATTCTCCCTGGTCCTAGCTGGTTTTTTGTTATTCAAATGACAGTTGACTTAAACAAGGCCTCTTAAGTGACCCTTCCAGTCTACAAGTCCTCCAGTCACTGGACAGTGCAAAGATTCCCCAATTCATAAAGGTTTGATCTAAGCTTTTTTGGCTTTGCTGGTGATGGTGGCACACAGCTGGAATCCCAGTACTCTTAGAGACTGATGCAGCTAGATCCTAAATTTGAATCTAGCCTGAGCAATTTGGGAACACAGCAAAACCTGTTTCAAAATAAAAAATAAGGCTGGGGAGGTAGCTCAGCGGTCTAAGCACCTGCCTGGCAAGTGGAAGGACTTGAGTTCAATCCCTGGTACCGCATGCTCTGCTGGCCAAGAAACAGGGTATGGTGGCACACGCCTATTATCCGAGCACTGGGGAAGGTGAAACAGGAGGATCACTATGAGTCTGAACTGAGTAGTGAGACCTTGCATCCAATCAACTGATCAATAAATTAGAAAGATAAATAATAAAAATAAAAAATAAAAAGGACTGAGATTAATTTAGAACAGTTCAGGGTGAAGGCCTTGGGTTCAGTCCTCAGTAATACAAATAAATAAATACATAAATAGAAAAAGTTTCTTGGACTTAACAGTAATGCAAAAGCTATCAGCATTCAAAAGAAATTATATTTCAATTTTATACAGTTTCCCAGACCAGCAAACAACACACACAGACACTCTCAAAGGGGCTGAGGAGATAGCTCAGTGGCATAAGCACCTGCCTGGCAAGCACAAGGTCCTGAGTTTGATTCCTAGCACCACCAGGAAAAAATAAATAAATAAATAAATAAATAAGTACAGATACTCTCAAAATGCTGGGCAATGGCAGCAAGCTGCACCTCCCAGTAAACCATGTGACCTGGACGGTAAAGAATGGGAATATGCTGCTGGGCTGTGCCGTATCTGGTATACTAAACAGACTGAACAACTTCTTGGCTTATACTACTTAAAATTTACAATGGTTTATTAGACATATCCCTAATCATTAAGTCAAAGAGTATCTGTTCACTGACTCAGTTCTTCAGCACAGAATTCACTTCTGACATTTTTATTTCCTTCGTCCCTCATAATATGTACTGAAAGAATGGAATCTGCCTAGTTTATTCCTACTATAAATATTCCTATCACCAGTTCTCAACATATGTACAAACAGCTAAATTAACATTCACTGAGCAAATAAAGGAATTATGTTTTATGAAGGAAATTTTCAGTCCATTCTAGGTTTTCCAAAAGAAAAGGATAATCATGAAATCAAAATTTTACACCCCTGGAAATTGAGACAGAAAGAACTGGGCCCCACTAAACACGGACACAAATATACATTCACTCAGGTTCAGATACAGTAAAAAATAAGGTGTTCAACTTTGGTAAAATCCTTGGCAGTTTATACTAGCCATACAACAGAGTGATCCAATAATCTTTGTTCATGCAGTAACTTTATTTATTTATTTTTTTTTAGTTTAAGAGAAATGTTTATTTATTTGATACAGGGTCTTGCTATGCAGCTTGGACTCTAGTGATCCTCCTGTCTCAGCCTCCCCAGCGCTGGGATTACCGGTGTGTGCCACCATACCTGAAACACCACGGAAAGATGTGTAGTATCGGAGATTGAACCTGGGTGCTTGCCCTTGCTAGGCAGGCACTTAAGACTACTGAGCTATCTTCCCAGCCCATACCCCACAATTTAAAGGAGAGGTTTACTTTAGTTTACTTTCTAGTCCATGATGAGCTGGCTTTAAGGCGGGAGAGTATAGCCAGGAAGTATTTCAAGGAAAACTGCCCCAGTCCTGGCAGGCAGGAAGCAGAGGATGAAGAGAAGCCAGAAGAAGGGGATGCACTCGTCCAGGTCAGGCCCCGTGACCCGCTCTTCTGACCAGGCCCATCTGCTCACAGGAAGGCAGTTATCGGCCTCTGACCCAAGCATCTCTCTCTTTTTTTTGTCTCCACAAAACATAACTCTTTTGTTTTAATTTTTTTTTTGAGACAAAACAAATTATCTGCTTCTTTCCATAGACCAGCAGAAATGCATAGTGCAGTTGTCCAAACCATCATGCTTATGTGCATAAATCTCTTTCCCCAACTCCTCCTGTCCTTCTCAACTCAGTAATTCTTTTTTAATAAGTTCATTCCCTTTTCACAGTATATGTTGTATTCTTCAGATTCCATTTTTCTTTCAGGTTCTCACACTACTGAAACAATAGGATGTTTGCACATATGGTTCTGACTTATTTCACTTAAGAGTATGTTCTCTAGCTGTATCCATTTACCAACAAAAGATTCAAAATTATCCTCTTTTGTAGCTGAATAATACTCCATTGTGTAAAAATACTACATCTTCTTTATCCATTCTTCATTTGATAATCATCTGGGTTGTTTTCAGGATTTAGCTATGACAAATTGTGCTGCTATAAACATAGGTACACATATATCACTGTGGTTTGAGATGTTCAGTTC